GATGTTCTGGATAATAAGAACTCCCTTTGTCCTTTCCGACTGGATCAAGGTTGGACACCAAATCCTGGGCTGGCCAGAACAAATGAAATGGCCTAATGTAAAAAGAAAAGCCCTTGGAAATTAAGAGTTGGGATGAGAGTTCCTGGTAAAAGTATTAGCAGACATTGAAGCAAGAAAGAGAAGTCATAGATACCATAGTCATCAGGCTAACTCATGTTAAAGCTGTAATTATTTGTAAACAAAGGGAGAAAAATATAAAAACCTCCAAGAAAATGATTAGGTAAACTGGTAGTATAGTCAGTAGGAAAACTAAGGCCCTACATAGCTGATCTATATTTATAGCTGAGTACTAGAGAGAAGAGTCATAAATTCTGGCTGCCGACATCCCTAATCTTGGGTATACTTCCAATATGCCTTATCCAGTATGCCACAGCTCCTGTTTTTGGATTTCCACGGGCTATCTGCCTCCACTACACCCTGTGATGTTTATGTTTATCTGCCCGTTGCTTGAGATAATGTGAGCAAGTCTTTGTTAGAGACACCCATAAGGCTATTTAAAACTTTAGGCCATGCTTAGAATTTGTAGTTGATCCTAAATAAATCACATTTTATAGACTAAATCCTAACATATAACACTCAGGATTTTCATATTCTTTATCCAATACTAAGTAGCTAATGAACAAAATAGTTGCAACAAATTCAAACAAAAGGAGACTAATAGCTCGAGGACCAAAGATAATTGACTCTAAGGTTCCAGTCTGATTATTGTATAATTATGCTTTATAAGCATCCTGCCAGGAGTGGAAGTCAACTTTATCTTAGTTACTAATTCTCATCAATTGGTACTGTCTATAAGTGAGTTACTGAAAAAGATCCCAGGGTCACATCTGGCCTCAGTAGGAAAGTGTAGAGAAATGAATTCTCATAGTCGACTGTGAGTTTGAGAAGTCAGTTGGTGACTATTTCCCTTCTCTGATCTAGTCTCTACATTAAAAAGAATTAGCTATCATGCTCTTTCTGTACTTTTCCAAAATGATTTGGGGAGTTAACAGCAGAACTGAAAAATCAAGCCTAGGAATTTCTAACACTCTGTTTGGTATCTAGAAATAAGGATCCTGGTAATTCCTGTCCAATTTGATAATAAGGGCATATAAGACGATGCTCAATGGACTTTAGAATATCGGAAATAAATATTAAAATTAGAAAACTGACATGGGCTATGGTTTAAATATACCAACATAGTAGAATTACACACAAGTCCTGTATAATCTATACGACTGTTCACTGGTCTAAGTCTATACTGTTTTCCTAAGGTAAACTGCCCTACTATGCAGGTTACGTATCCCTAAAATAAGGGACTTAAGATACTTTGCAGCTCTAAAATTATTTGATTACTTGGTTGCTCAAGGAATGCAAAAATTACAAGGCAACTTTTTTTTTTTTTTAATTGTTGGGGATTCATTGAGGGTACAAGAAACCAGGTTACATTGATTGTATTTGTTAGGTAAAGTCCCTCTTATAATTGTGTTTTGCCCCCAGAAGGTGTGTCACAAACCAAGACCCCACCCCCTTTCCTCCTCTCTCTCTGCTCTTCCTTTCCCCCACCTACAAGGAAACATTTACTCTGGAAAAAATCAGAATATAGTCAATCTCATGCCAGGTGATAGGTGCCTTCTTGACTAATTCCAGATTCTTAAATCATCAAAGCATGACGTCTATCTGATCATAGTAAATTCAGGTTACATATATGTCCTGAGAGTTGTGCTCTATCTAGTTCATGGTTAACCTTTAAATGAAATTATAATCCATTTATAATAAAGGGTTACCTGTTTTAGGCAAATAGATTAAAGTGCCTGAGGGCACTCCAGAGCCTTTAAGTATTCATAGCCTTTAGACTTGTAAGACCAATTAAGGAACGAAGTTTGTCTTCCACACAGGCTCTAGTGAAGACAAAATGGCATACTTGTCTTGATGTGAGTTTTGTTTTTTAGAACATACAGGTATGTGAGGGTGAGGGCCTCCTAGAGAGTAACAAAATGATGCAGAATTAGAATTTACATTGGAAAATTAATTATAGAATGTTTTCATGTATCTATTCATGGTCCTTTAGTTTTCATAATCATAAAACAGCAACAGAATATTTTAAACAAATTTCTGGGGGCAGCGCCTGTGGCTCAGCGAGTAGGGCGCCAGCCTCATATACTGAGGTTGGTGAGTTCGAACACAGCCCTGGCCAAACTGCAACAAAAAACAGCCGGGCATTGTGGCAGGCACCTGTAGTCCCAGCTACTCGGGAGGCTGAGGCAAGAGAATCACCTAAGCCCAAGAGCAAGAGGTTGCTGTGAGCTGTGACGCCATAGTACTCTACCAAGGGTGATGAAGTGAGACTCTGTCTCTAAAAAACAAAACAAAACAAAACAAATTTCTGTTCACCCAACAAAACTTCTTTCTTGCGAAGTTTCTAAAGGGATAGAGATATCTTCTTGCCCAGCATAAAACCTGATTTAAAATGTACTTTGCAATGGTTTCTCTTTGTAAACGGTATTTGAATGCTTAGAGTCTCTCAAAGTTTACAATCCAAAAATAGAAAATGATTTGGGTTCAAATATATTTGAAGTTGAACACAGAAAACAAAAATCTTGCCTCACTTCCTAATTGTATGCAACAGTCAACATGTTGCTATTAACACACCATGGTAGAGTAGATTTTAAGCTGAGGTAGAACAAATACCTTTCCCCCTAGCTCTTTCTTTCAGTGAAGGAATGTAGAGTTTTTGAACTATACACATAGCTAGTGACAGAGATGGCTCTTTCCCTTCTCCATAGACCTTTTGGGAGGCCTTTCAAAAGGGACAATAGAAATAAAATAATCTGTATCATCCTTTGGGGCCAGAACTAAAACTCTGGATATGAAAGGTAAAACAGTAAAGGAATAGAAAAAATATATAAACTTTAAAACTAAGGGCTTTTTAATCCTCACTCATTCACTCAAAATGGCTCGTAACATCTAGAGGCTGAGCTAAAAATACGATGAAGTCTTATGACCCTTTTACTAGATATCTTAATTAAATTCTTTTGCTGTTCCTTGTAGCCAAATTTCCATACAGTTCCATATTCAATTATGAAAACTACTCCTATATATGAGCAGTTCCATGGAAAAAAATACATTACCTACCTATAACAGGATAAAAATCAGCAGGTCTAAGTTCTAGTCTTTTCTCTACCACAAACTAGCTCTATAACCATGGTCAACCGACCCATTCTTTCCAACTACTATTGAAACGATACCATAAGCTCATGAGAAAGGGGTTAGAATTGTGAAGTCTCTTTAAGGAGACTCAGCTTTTAGTTAAACTATAAAGGCACATGAATTTTAAAGTATTTTACTAACTCAAATTTATAAGTCTTTAGTGAAATAAAAAACTAGTGAAGCACTTAGGGTACTACTCAGTTGAATAAGGGAAAGATTCCAGGTCAACTTAAAATGACACTGTTCTGCTGACATAAAATGACCACTTTCTTGGTTGTGTTTTCTTGCTATTTGTTGTTATAAAGCTCCTCTGGGTGCCCAACTGTTTTTATTAACAGTTTTTAGTCATCTGAAATGTTAACGTCTACCATACACACCTACATATTATACAGATATGATCGGTAAGGTCTTTTAAAATGTTTTAGATTGTTGTGGGAGGTTGAAGAACATCGCCAAAATAAAGTTTTTGTTCAGGAGATACTGACAGTTCATAAATTATATTTACTGCTAATCATTTCAGATACAACTGAACTTAAAGTGAACTCAATTCTTTTTTTCCTTCCTTCTTTCCTATTCTAAAAAGAATCTTTAATTAAACAACACTACTGAAGACAATATCTGGTGTTTGAGACGGCAATCTAGTTTGGGGTTTCCCAGTGAGTGCAGCGGTTAACAAAAAAAAGAAAACTTTTTCTGGGCGGTGCCTGTGGTTCAGTGAGGAGGGCACCGGCCCCCTATACTGAGAGTGGCGAGTTCAAACCCAGCCCCGCTGAATTGCGTTGTGGCGGGCACCTGTAGTCCCAGCTGGTTGGGAGGCTGAGGCAGCAGAATCGCCTAAGCCCACGAGCTGGAGGTTGCTGTGAGCTGTGATGCCACAGTACTCTACCAAGGGCGACAAAGTAAGACTCTGTCTCTAAAAAAAAAAAAAACAAAACTTTTTCTGAGACTGTTTAGGCCTAAAACACAATATGAGTTTTGCTTATTTCTCAACATTCTTCCTAACAGAAGAAAGGATTGTTCCTGCTCATTTCATTAAAAAAGAAAAAAGAAAAAGGATTGGAGCACATATTCCCTGAAATCCTTCCACAATTCTGACCTTAGGGCTTAAGGGTACATTCTACAAGGACCATAAATTAGTACATTCTTGGAGTAAAGATATTTATGTTTCTTTAAGTACATTCTTGGAGTAAAGATACTTATGTTTCTTTAAGATCTATAGAGTATGAATGAGATTTTAGCACTGTATTTCAACAAGGCACCAAAGGTGAAATAATTTAAAATACTGCTGAGGAAAACAGCAAAGCAGTATTTAGCGAGATTTCTTTCATACTTTTTACATAAATAATTTTTATATCATTCTCAAAAAACAACTCTGGGAAGTGTGCTTTAGAGGGCAAAGGCTCAGTGATGTTCAGATGCTTTGTCCCAGGTAACAGCCAGAATTCAAACCTGGTTTCTAACTCCAGTCATTACATCCATTGTATAAATTAAGCAAATGCTAAACGTACACAGTACATTTTTGTGAACTGCTATAAAACGTAAAGTTAGGATTTTTTGACCCAGAGCCAATTCTACATGATTTTCTCACAATGTAAAACAGTTTAAATATACTAAAATATCAGGGTATTTGGAGATAGGCTACCCCCAAATACACAGAAAACATTAATGTTGAGTGCTGTGACATCACGCACATTCCCATGGGTGACACGCACATGCTGGGCTTGTTTGGTTAGAATTAGATTCTACTGTCTAGCTGGACTGAAGACCCTTCTGGGGATCAATTTCTACCAAGAGGTAAAAAATTACACCTGAAACACAAAAGAGCAAACTTTTCTGCAACACAAAGCTTTATTTTAAAAAGTACAATGAGAGTTAATTCTCTAAAGAAAATGGGTTAACAGAGGGGACAGGTGTATCTTCAGCCAGCTGCTCTGCTTCTTCACAGCTCTTCCCGGAAAACCGACCGAAGGGGGGTGGCGACAGAGGTCAACGTGGACAAGACCCTTTCCTGCCCAGCGAGTCAGCGGCTGCGCCCGGCCGCGTCGGTTACCGCCACCCCGCGGCCCCTGCCCGCCCCGGGGTCCGGCCGGGACAGCGTCCCGAAGGTGCGGTCGGCCCAACTCGGGTCCGGTGGAGACTCGATCGTGCGCGGGGTGCGGTGACTCAGCGGTACAACTAGCTCCACGCCTGGGCTGGGCTCGCCCCTTCCCCTTGCTCAACCACTGTCGCAGACTCCGCGAGGAAAACCGGGACCTCCCGGTCCCCCCCCCCGCCCGGCCCTTCAGAATCCCCCTCAAGCATGTGACTCCCTTCACTGTTCTCTCCAGAGCCCCCTCTCGGGTGGCGGCGGCTAACGACTAGATCTTTCCTTACCTCTCCCAAGCCGGCCTCTCCCGAGCGTGCAGGAGAAGTAGGGCGCGGGGCGGCTCTGGCCTCCCGCAGCCGCCGCGCCCACCGGCCGCTCCGCCCCTTCCCCTCCTCGGCTCCTTCCCGGCTCGCGCCCCCGCCGGGGAGGCCGCCGGAGCCCGGGCGGGGCGGGGCGCGCATGCGCGCCGGGAGTGGCGGCGCGGGCTCAGAACCGGAAACTTAGAGACAAAGTTCGGAGACCCGCCCCCGCCGCGCCGCGCAGCCGTCTGGCCCCTGCGACCCGCCGCCCACCGCCCAGCCGTCCCGCCCGGCTCTCGCGTGCGCCATGTCTGGTTCCTCCAGCGTCGCCGCAATGAAGAAAGTGGTTCAGCAGCTCAGGCTGGAAGCCGGGCTCAACCGCGTGAAAGTGAGCGAGGGCGGGCGGCCCAGGGGGAGGGCAGGGCGGTCGCCGCGGGTGGGATCCGGCGGCCGCGCTGGCTGCGGCGGGTGGGACGCGCGGCGGCCCTCGCTTTCCGCGGGGGCACGGGCGTTCGGCGCGACGATCGGGACCTGCCACGCCTGGAGAGGACGCCGCGCGGGCCGGCACTGTGGTTTGGGGGGCCGATTAGTTCGCCCTTCCGCCCCAGGACTGTCCGAGGCGGCCCGCATTCCGGTCCGCCGTCCTCCCTCCCTCCCTCCCTCCCTCCCTGGGCAGTGACTCCCCCGCTGGCCGCGCCAACAGCTGCCGCTCCGCGCGCGGTCCGCGCCCTGCTCTGCCTGCCAACCTCCCTTCTGTCGTCTCCGGACAGGGTGGTTTCCGACTTAGGAAACTTAGGTCTTTTCGTTTCATTTCTTTCCCAAACCTATGCCCGTTAGCAGTAGCTTCTTTACTTCCAGCATCTCTTGTCTACTGAACATGTACTTGAGTTCTCGAATAACTTAAAGTATAGATTAAAGAAGCATTTGAATAACTTGAAGTATAGATTAAAGAAACATACTTGGATCCGAGGTTACCGTCGGTGCCTGGTGCAATCTCGAACAAAGGGTACATTTCAGCCCTCGTCAGCGCGGTTTGCTCAGATCTGACCTTGGGGTTGTCTACTATTAGGCCTGCCCGAGAAAGTGATTAGGGTGGGCCTGTTTTATTAGTCTTATTTATTTTGGCGTTTGGTTAGCACTGGCCTTGTCTTGGGGTATTTGTTTTGGGGAAGATACGTTTTGGCATGACAACCTGACATTCAGTTGCTATTTTAAGTATTTACTGATTTTTTAAAATCCTAAATAGATTGGGCTTCCTCCGGGAAGGAATAGGTCAGGTTACCTGTGTCACACTTCTCACAATTAAAAAAGGAAACAGAAAATATGAAGTGTGTTAGAAGCAGCCAGTTTCCAAGATGATTTAATTTTATACTAATCAGGCTAGCCGAAATGTTTTCTGGAGGGCATCTCATGTAGCTTCCTTTAACTAGAAATGTCAGGGACCCTGGCTTACTCACTTGCCACCTCAGGAGGGAAGGGAAATTCCTACTGGTTTTGATGTAGGAGCTCCCTCATTTCTTGTCCTTTGAGGGCTGTACAGGTCGCTACTGCTATTAGGAATCTATTTCTCTCATCTCCCAATTCTCACCTAAAGCCAGTAGTTTATGGTCATTCTTGGCTAGATTTAGCTCTGAAATTTGAAATCATCAACTATTTTTTTTTTTTTTTTGAGACGGAGCCTCAAGCTATCCCCCTGGGTAGAGTGCCGTGGCATCACAGCTCACAGCAACCTCCCCAAGTAGCTGGGACTACAGGCGCCCGCCACAACGCCTGACCATTTTTTGGTTGCAGCCATCATTGTTGTTTGGCGGGCCCAGGCTGGGGATTCGAACCCGCCACCTTAGGTGTATGTGGCTGGCGCCTTAGCTGCTTGAGCCACAGGCGCCGAGCCAACTATTTTACTGTTATTCAGGGTGCCTTCATCATAGATTGAATGGGCCAGGAAAGAAAGAAATGGAAAAGAAAGCCAAAAAAAAAAAAAAAAAGGCTTGGGAAAGCAGTAATTGTGTCTTCAAAGAAAATGAGGTGAAGTCTTCAGGCTAAAGTACTCCAATAGATTTACTTTGAAAATCCTAGCCACTGCCCTCCCCAACTAGATCCTGCCTGTACACCTAATTCTTCAGTAGGTTTCTGGTCTGAATCATTAAAGCCACCACACATGGTTTGGTTTGGATATTCTCTATGTCTGCATGAAGTAGCAAGGAGGGGAGGGCATCTCACTTTGGGATTTTAAATGAACTTTTCTTGAACATGTTATTAAATGTGGTTAAGTTGCATTTCATAATGTGTGTGTATTTTATCTATGACTCAGTGCTAGGTGCTTATTGGTGGTATTTTCAAACTAGCACAGATGCTTACTACATTTTACTCTTTACATTTGAATAGAGGGGTTGGGAATTACCACAAGTGCTTGACAGACTCCCCCATAGGTAGGTCAGGACACTGGTGATAGTGAAAAAGGACACTAATAATAATCACGCCAGATTGCAGGGTTTCAATCCTCAAGTGCTTACTACAGTATCTTGGGAACTAGCAGCTCAGTCCAGTTTTAGAGTCTTTGTCTCACCTTTCCCCACTGCCTGGAATGCTGTTTCTCACTGATAGTTATTTGGCTAAATCTCTTGTCATTGAAATCTCAGTTTCAATGTCACCTCAGACATTTTCTCTTATTGTGGCCACCCAATCACTGTCTAACAAATCACTTTTTTTACTGCGGAGCACTGTGGCTTCTTTCCCTCTTTCCCTCCGTAATGGAAGGGTTCTCAGTTGTGTATTCTGTGCCTAATAGTATATTTGGCACAAAATGGTGCTTGAGGGGTTGTGAAAGGGAGTTAGGTTGGACCCTACCTACACTTCAGACAAAAAATTATTAGGTACGTCGTCACTGCATGTTTTCTGCTGGCTAATGTAAATGAAAACAGACACTTCAGCATTAAATACTATCTATTCCCCTACTTTAGCTATACTTGTTATGGGGGGTAGGGGACTAGGTGGGAATAGGCATTTGTAAAAGTACTTGGTATCCATGATTTAAAAAGTACTTCTTTTTCTTAGAAGCTAATAAACCTGTGAAACCCATTATGTTGGCTTGGACAGTTGTATAAGCCAAACACACAAACAGATTTGAGATGGGTTCAGATTCATCTCAGAATGAATTACTTTTTCAGGTCTGGGGTACAGCTGTAATCTGCAGGGGGTTTTGGCATAGAGAGTATTTTAATTTCCTTTCAAAGGCCACATAAGGCCACATATCCAGTTGGACTGGACATCTGCTCTCACCCTCCTTGGGGATAGTTAAGACTGAGAATAAAGTAAATGATGTTTCTCAGAACCCAAATTCAGGGCTTAGGATATTGGATGCATTGGGGGCATCTTTTAGTCATTCATGTTGTACATCTGAGCCATCCAATTCATTGTTTGGTGTTACTGTCCCATCAACTGTTTTGTCAAACTGTAGACAGGGACAGCTTTCTATGTCATTTCTTTCTTTAGTCATGTGACTAAAAGGCGGACAGTAAAGTTAAACAGCTTTTCTGAGTAGGCTGCTTTTAAGAAACTCTATTTGCCCAAATGTGGTTTAACAATGTTCATATATGTGTCCAGTGCCACCCAAACGGGACTTAAGGAGCATCTGTGGCTTTATCTGCTACATCACATTACCAAAATATATACAAATGTTTTTAAGTGAATGAATGCATGCCTTTCACTCTGTTTTAGTTCAAATTCAGGGGAGCATGAAAAACTGTAAATTTGAAGAATGCACTGAATACATTGGGTTTTTCTACATAATATGCTATTAATAGTTATCTCATTATGTTCATTCATAGTAGCATTCTTCCATTTATACTGAGTTTGCTGGAATATTAATGCTTTTTGTTTAGCCTCTAATGCCATGTGCTACACTTTGTGCTATACGTTGCAAATAGCCATGATTATACTGAGTCATTGGATGCTTCTAATAGGAGGAAACATAAACCATCCTATTTACAAGCAATGTATGCTCAGTATATGAATGTTAGTCTTTAGTATATAATGTCTTTCTTTTGAAGCAAGAGAAGTGGTGTTTATTTCAAGTACAGTATTTCCAAAGATCTGAGGAAATCTCACCACCTGGTACTTTCCTCCTCTGTTACGTGTAGGTTTCCCAGGCAGCCGCAGACCTGAAACAGTTCTGTCTGCAGAACGCTCAGCACGATCCTCTCCTGACTGGAGTATCTTCAAGTACAAATCCCTTCAGACCCCAGAAAGTCTGTTCTTTTTTGTAGTACAGTGGGTCTTCCGAAGGTAAGTTTCCTTAAATACATTTTACAAAACCTTTCATCGTAGGAGTAACTAGTCAGCTCTCTGTCTGCAGCGCTGGAAAGATTATCCTGTGCTAGTTTCCAGTCTTTTTCTGTTTGGTAAGGAAAGTGAGGGTTGAAACGTACTGATTTAGCAATTCCAAAGACTAATTGTTTCTGTTTTACCATAAAGAAAGTTAGAGGATTTACTAACCATAAAGGTGTAGGAGAGTTACTGTAAAATTCCACTGCTGTGACAAACCCCGTGTTACTTTTTATAGCATTAAGCCCAATGGCATGTTTATTTTGGGGTCCCCAAACCACAATTTTGTTTTTGTATACCTATCAGATTTTTAGACAGTTGAAAAAATCTGTAGTGTCTATGAGGGTGACTTTTAAACTGCTGCCACTTGGATTAATTCTAGTTTTTGCTCTAATAGAATCTAGGTATAGGACAGTATAGCAAAAGAATTGGGAGCTGGGAATACAAGAGAAAATCAGGAGCAAGTTGAATAAGTAGACATGGTAGAGGCAGGCCTCTGGAGTGAGGAATAACAGGTTTTACTTGTTCTCATTTGTTAAAGATAAACATGGAGGAAATAAGCTGTATGAGTTGTAGATTGAATATCAGAGAATTAAACTAAAGACCTGCAGGCTCTATTACAGCATGCTTCACCATATTAATTTAAATGTTAGTCCAAGAGATGTAACCCAAAACAAGCTTTGAATAATTAGAAATTAACTCCAGGGTGCTACCTTTTATAAATTCCTAGGACTTTAGTTAGGACACATACTCACTAGCATTGATCTATGAGAAGCAAGTTCAATAGTGCTTGGAAAGAAAAGATTTTGTATATGGCACACCCATTACTAGCATTTTCACTCTGCACAGTCCTGGAAGCTGCTTCCTAAAATGCCTTGTTAAATAGTTGTGCCCTCCCTAATTATGCGTTGTAGACTTGAGAGTGTCCAGTAAATGGTATTGGTTGGTTAAGAGGGTGAAAAATACAATATGCCTTTGAGTAACAGGTGTCTTGTAGGGAACCAGTGCATGAGGCAGTAATTCCTTGTAAGTCTAGCATTTTCATATTTACAGTTCATTGTTTCTGGCGATATTCATTTGATTCTAAGTGGTGGTTATTGTTCTTTTTTAACCTCAGTTCTTAATTGCCTTCACTTTACAAAGTGGTTTATTTTCATTTGAATAAAATACTTTTAAGAATCCTGGGAAGCTGTTAGTAGTTTTAGGTCACAGGAGTCTACAGCTTTGGCAGGGATACAGAACCCAGATTTCAAAGTAAAATAATGGCTTTTAATCTCATCAGTCTTAAGAAAAGAAAAATAATCCAGCTTTGTGGATATCATGATTTGTAGAACTTTAGGCTAGGGGAGAATATTTGAGTACTAAAGCATTGCTTCTCAAACTATAATCTATCTACAGATCACTTTCCTAAAATGCAAAGTCCAGTGCAGTAGACCTGAGGTGAGGCCCTAGAACCTGCATTTCTTAAAATTTCCCATGTTACACTAAGGCTGATGACATTGAGTGGCACGGATGTAAAGAATCTATGTTGGGGGTTTTACATACTCATAAATGTAGCTTTTAAAAATTACAAAGTTTTTGTAATTTGAAAAAACTTACCATAAAGTGTAGTAACAGGTAGTCTAAGAAAAATAGAAATACCATGGTCAACACACCTAGAAATCACCACTATATGTGTTTTCTTTACTTTTTTTCTTTTTTTTTTTTGAGATAGAGCCTCAAGCTATCCCCCTGGGTAGGGTGCCATGGCATCACGCTCACAGCAACCTCCAACTCCTGGGCTCAAGCGAGTCTCCTGCCTCAGCCTCCCAAGTAGCTGGGACTACAGGCGCCCACCACAACGCCCGGCCATTTTTTGGTTGCAGCCATCATTGTTGGTTGGCGGGCCCGGGCTGGGGATTCGAACCCGCCACCTTAGGTGTATGTGGCTGGCACCTTAGCCGCTTGAGCCACAGGCGCTGAGCCTGTTTTCTTTACTTTTAAGGAAAATGTTTTCATTAAAATATTACCCCTTTATACAAAGTAGAAGGAATAATACAGGATAAAAAAAACTGCAGAAGTATTTAATCATTAGAACATGTAGGCATCAAAAAAACTTGGATAGGAAGACAGGGTTAGTTACAATGAAACCCCTGTAAAATTAAGGTAGCTTTCATCTGAAACTAAAAATAACAAATACAACACATGCTACAATGAATACACAGAAATATTTTTATAGTTTTTCATTCTGCTTTTTAAAAACTTAATGAATTTTCATAGTTCATTAAAATTTTGAGATAGAATTTCACTCTGTCGCCTTGGTACCATGCTGTGGCATCATAGCTCATAGCAACCTCAAATTCATGAGCTCAGGTGATCCCCTTGCCTCAGCCTCCCAAGCACCTACGGGCACCTAACACAACACTCAGCTAATTTTTCTACTTTCAGTAGAGTAGAGATGGGCTTTTTCTTGCTCTTGGTCAGGTTGGTCTGGAAATCCTGAGCTCAAGCAATCCACCCACCACTGCCTCCCAGAGTGCTAGGATTATTGGCATGAGCCACCGCATCCCAACTCTTGTAAACAAGATTTTCAGTTGTACTGTAATTTATACTCTATAGAATATTAAAGTTTCTCAAGTTGAGGCTATAGTGAGGCCTCGGTGTCTGCATGTATACTTTACCTCTAATTAAAACAAATTTAAGTAAAATTAGCAAGAAATGAACATCTAAAACCTTTAACAGTACTGAAGTATGTAACCCCTGCATGTATATTAGTACTTTAGTCTTCCACAAGGGGCATGAGATCGCTTTATCCCTGAGCCCTTGCCCAACAAATTTTAGCCTGTTTGCTGCTATTTTAAGTGAGAGTAGACATTTTTCATGATTCTTTTCATGCCTGAAATATCTCAAAATTATCAGGTACAAAGATGACCCATGTATCTACTATCCTGAATTAAATGTCAGTGTTAATTTTTTTTAGGAAATAAAACAATTCACACATCTTCCTTTCCATATAGATAAATTAGCCTGAAGTTGCTATGCTTATGTTTTTATTTTCCAGTACACACCCTTATTCCATCATCTTTGTAAACCTTGGTTATTTATCCATTCCCCTACTGAGTTGTATTTAGGCTGTTGCAGCTTTTTGCTTACAACACTACTTTAGTCAAGACCCTTTTCCGTGTTTCTCTGTGTCTGGGTTCATCTAGGTAAACAGATGTGTTGTTGCACCCACTCCTTACTAGATCCTGCCAACCTGCTCTCCTAAATACTTGTGCTCATTTCTTCTACAGATGATCAGATTTTTCGTGATTTTTAAGAGTTTATGTTAACCTGACTTTGATACAGAGTGCACTTTGGGAGTAATCTTAGCAAGTTAATTTTAAGTCTTCTTATTTATAAAACAGAAATGATACACTTTCAGAGTGGTTGTGAAAATTAAGAGAAAGTTAAGATTTTACTGTTACTGTACCATAGGCGTTTCTCATCCTGTTTATCCTTTCTTCAAATTCTGTGATGTGTCTGCTTTTTAAATGTAGATAAGGAAACGAACTTAGTATTTTTTTTTTTTTTTTTAAGACAGAGCCTCAAGCTGTCCCCCTGGGTAGAGTGCTGTGGCATC